AAGGAATGATATATTACCTCCCTTGGAGTTGTGAGGATTTAATGAAAAAATGTGTAAAGTAAACACACTGACAGCAAAAGAAAGCACTTAATGTCAGCTAAAATCTATCATCATCATCATTCTTTGGCTGAATGAGACATCTTGAGCTTCTACTTCAGCAATGAAAATACATTCATTTTTTTCAAACCACAGTTCAATAGTGTTTTCATTATTTTCCAATCAATTATATCTTCAATAATTATAAAATTATCAAGGCCACAAGGCTAAAAAGGGGCAAACTCTCCACTGTAAGTAGTTTAGATTCACAAAAGTAAATTACATCACATTTGGATTCCTCTTTTTCCTACTTTTTTCTTTTCTTTATTGATTAAGATATTACATATGTGTCCTTATCCCTCATTGTCCCCTCACCCCCACCCCCGCTCATGCCCTCACCCCGCTGTTGTCTGTATCCATTGGTTAGGCTTATATGCACGAATACAAGTCCTTTGGTTGATCTCTCCCCCTTACCCTCACCCTTTCCTGCCTTCCCTCTGAGGTTTATAATGAACAACATAAACTGATGAACAAAAACAAATCCAGAGATAGAGAAGCATCCATCAGACCGTCACATTTGGATTCTTAATTAACTAGTAAGCCAATTCAAGTGGGGTTTCCTCTACATTGTTAATATCTTTGTATGCATACACACTAGTATACAAAAGAGTAAGTCTTACGTTTAAATATACCAACTCCATCAACCACTACCAGCAATATGTAGGTCAAGGCTTTCCACCTGATAAAATTAGATCAGAATCAGTATTAAGATTTAGAAGAGCCTAAGGATCACCCTGTCTGATCCTGTCATTTTACGAATGGATTTAGGAAATGTAGTTAACTGGTGAACAAGGAAAACATTCAGATGCTAATCTTTTTCAGGAATTAGTCCAAATCCTAAAAGGAACACATACTAAACCTGTTTAGATTTTTAAAAATGACATCAATTTTTAGCTCAGTTAAAGGTGTTACTATCATTACCACATTTAAGGTGTAAGTGGAAGCTTCCTTTCTCACTTTCAAGCTGAATCCACAGTTTTTAATTATTTTAAGATATTTATTTATTACAGAGAAGGGGAGGAGAAAATCATGGGTCAGGCTGACAGGCCAGTGAGCCAGGACAAGTGGAACAGGGAAACTGAGACAGAGAGCTGAACAAACTGGCAGAGCAATTTACAGCAGATACAGACGGTCACCTCCCTAGAAATAACATCTAGGACTCAGCTGTATGTCAGCTCCAGACCCACAAAAGCAGCAAAACCAGATGGATGGCACTAGGACCAGCTGCAATGATAATGATCCCCTGCCCTGACACTGACCAATCAGTGGAGACCCCACCCTGAAGGAGCACTCCTAGGAAATGGATGCATGCTCTACTGAGACCCTCCCCTCCTGAGACCTCCCCTAAGACTCCCTCCTGCAGGAGAGGTAAAGACGGAGGACCCAGGGCGCTCTCTCCCGCTGGGGAGCAGCACCTGACACCCCCTCTCCCTTCTCCTTCCCCCACAGGCATGTACCTCCTAAACTCCAAAGGACCCAACAAGCCTTGCAATCAGGGGAGCGATGGGCAGGGGCAGCTCCTTGCAGGCTGGTCCCCTGAACCTGTCCCCAGGGCCCTCTTTTCTCTGACTACCCAGAGAGCTAAGGCAGCGCAGCCCAGGCGCCCCTGTGGCTTCTGCTGTGCTAAGCCCTTTACTGTCCCCAGCTCTAGTAAATGTTCCCTCACAGTTACCTGGAATTGTATTGTGAAATTTTTCCTGCATGAAGTCAAGAAGCCACACACTACCAACTGACCCTAGGCAGACCCACCAAGGGCCAGTTCCCCTTTCCGGTAACAAGATACAAAGAGCCATTTGACATCTAATCCAAAGAATAGTAATTTGTTAAATAAATAAATAGAATCAAAGATTGCATATGCACAGTATAAGACTATTAGGAGAAAAAAAAAGACTATTATGAGAATACTTTTCTTCTTCATATAAAGATTTTTAAAGAAAACATAAATAGCCAGTCTGGTGTAGCTCAGTGGTTGAGCATCAATCTATGAACCAGGAGGTTACGGTTAGATTGCTGGTCAGGGCACATGCCCAGGTTGTAGGCTAGATCCCCAGTGTAGGTCGTGCAGCAGGCAGCCAACCAATGATTCTCTCTCATTATTGATGTTTCTATCGCTCTCTCCCTCTCCCTTCCTCTCTGAAATCAATAAAAATGTATTTTTTAAAAAAACAACATAAATGGCTTAAAAACCTATGAAAATATGCTCACCTTCACTCATTAAAATAAATAAAAATTAAAGCAACAGAATAACAAAATTCCCATAAAATTTGCAAGAATTTAAGTCATTAGGGTTGAAAAAAGATTTTTCCTTGGAATGTTGACTTTATGATTATCTAATTTAAAAACTGCTGACAATCATTTCTATTCACAGCAAGGATGTGTTCATACATGACTATGAGTCTACATTTATATAAAAATAAGAGGGAGATAGATATATTTTTACGTTATTCATCAACATATAACTTGTATAAGGAGGAATGTGACTATCCATATCAAAATTATAAGTGCACATATCCTTTGATCCAGCAATTCAACTTCCAGGAACTTATCCTACAGCTGACTCCCACATAGGAGAAATATTATAGGTACAAGGATATTCACTGCAGCTCTGATTGTAGAAGTAAAAAAATAGTAACAATCTGAATGCCCATTAATAGGAGATTGGCTATAATCATTTTATGGTAAACTCATAAAATGATAGACTCATAAACTTATGGTAGACCATGCAGCCATTAAATAAATGAAAACTATATAAATACTAATATGGAAAGATCTCTAAATAATATTAAATCAACAACATGTTATGTAAAGCACCATTAGTTTTAAAATGTATATGTAAACAGCAACATATTCATGCATGAGCATATATACTATTCACTCTATTTCCTTTTATGTATTTCAATTTCATTCTATTTACATGTATTTTTTTTACATTTTTATTTATTGACTAGAGGCCCGGTGCACAAATATTTGTGCACTCGGGGGGATGGGGGTCCCTCAGCCCAGCCTGTGCCCTCTCACAGTCTGGGACCCCCTCGAGAGATAACGACCTGCTGGCTTAGGCCTGCTCCTGGGTGGCAGAGGGCAGGCCCAATCCTTAGGTGCAGCCCCTGGTCCGGCTCAGAGCAGGGCTGATTGGGGAGTTGGGGCGCTGCCCCCTGTCATGCACAGAGCAGGGTCCATGGGGAGGTTGCTGCGCCACTCCGTCACGCACAGAGTAGGGCCAATCAGGGGGTTGGGGCACTGCCCCCTGTCACTCCCAGAGCAGGGCCCATCAGGGGGGTTGGGGCTCTGTACCCTGTCACACACAGAACAGTGCCAATCAGGGGGTTGGGGCTCTGTACCCTGTCACGCACAGAGCAGGGCCAATCAGGGGGTTGGGGCACAGCCCCCTGTCATGCACAGAGCAGGGCCCATCAGGGGGTTGGGGCACCGCCCTCTATCACCCACAGAGAAGGGCCGATCAGGGGGTTGGGGTGCAGCCACTCTCACACTCAGGGCAGGGCCGATGGGGAGGTTATGGCTCTACCCTGTCACACACAGAGCAGGGCCCGCGGGGGGGGGGGGGGGGGGTTGGGGCGCCGCACCCTGTCATACACAGAGTGGCAGGGCAATCAGGGGTTGGGGAGCTCCCCCCTATCAGGCACAGAGCAGGGCTGATCAGGGGGTTGGGGCGCCTTCCCCTGTCACGTACAGAGCAGGGTGGATAGGGAGGTTGTGGCCCCGCCCCCTGTCACACACAGAGCCGCAGAGCGATCAGGGGGTTTGGGTGCTGCCCCCTGTCACACTGACCCAGGTGTTAGGAGGCCTCGCGGCTCCACTGATCCCGGTGCTGGGAGGCATATTACCCTTTTACTATGTAGGGTAGAGGCCTGGTGCACGGGTGGGTGCGGCTGGTTTGCCCTGAAGGGTGTCCTGGATCAGGGTGGGGGTCCCCACTGGGGTGCCTGGCCAGCCTGGGTGAGGGGATGATGGCTGTTTGCAGCTGGTCACACATCCTTCAGGGTGGGGGTCCCCACTGGGGTGCCTGGCCAGTCTGGGTGAGGGGCTGAGGGCTGTTTTCAGGCTGGGGGTGACTGAAGCTCCCAACCACTCCTTTTTTTCTTTTTTTTTTGTTTTTTATTCTGGGCCAGCTTTAGCTTTTAGGCTTGGCTCCAGCTCTTAGGCCTCCGCTGCTGAAAGTAGGTATCTGGCCTTTGCTTACAATGTAGCGATCCTGCTGGCTGAAGCCTGTCGGACTAAAACAGGTTTCTGGGGTTTTGTTTAGCTTCTATATTTGTTACATAGTTGCTTAGAGTTGCAGCTCGGAGGCCTGCAGCGGCAGGCAGGGAACATTGGAGTCCTCCGTCACTGAAGCAAGCAAGCCTCATGTTAGTTTCAAGCTGCCTGGCTGCCGGCCGCCATCTTGGCTGGCAGTTAATTTGCATATTGCCCTGATTAGCCAATGGGAAGGGTAGCGGTCGTATGCCAATTACCATGTTTCTCTTTTATTAGATAGGATTTGAGAGAGAAACTGATTTTGTTTCACTTACTTATGCATCCATTGGTTGATTCTTATTGCATGTGCCCTGACCAGGGATCAAATCCGCAACCTTGGCTTGTTAGGATGATACTCTAACCAACTGAGATACTGGGCCAGGGCTAAAAAAACTCTTAAAATATTTATTTTAAATTTAGATGTCTGACTTATTGTTTAATCCAAATGAGGTAACTTCAAATTTTCCTTCACTGACAGTTTTTAAATTTAAGAATGATAACATCAGCATTCCAAGGAAAAACCTCTTTCAAGCCTAGTGACAGCATAATCAACATCAGTTCCAGCACAATTAAAGTCCTAAAGCGCACTTCAAGCAGAAACGTGGACTGCTTACACTGCAGTAGAATCAGTGGTAAGACTCAGACCTTACCTGACCAGGTCTCCATGCAGCTGTAAATAAAGACTTTCCCTTCCCTCTCCAGCACATATTTCTGATGCTGGAGTCTCTACTGTGCAAAGGACAAGATGTAAGTCAGAGGATGAGGAGGAGGCGGAGGAGGAGGAGGCAGAGGAGGTGGCGGTTGTAGTGGCAGTGGTCGTGTCTGCTCCATAAAGGTAAACACAGCCTCTCTTCACATCTTCTCTCAGCCAGTCTCTTTCTCGAGAACCAAACCTACTTCTCCTATTCAAACAATTTCTGCTCCCATTGTGTTTCATATTTCTCTAAAATAAGAAAAAAAAATCATGAGAAAAAACATCAGCTAAAATGAGTTAGACATGTTCAGTTCTCACCCCACTTTCCACTCTATAGTCACCAATACTCTACTCCAGTGGTCGGCAAACTCATTAGTCAACAGCCAAATATCAACAGTATGACGATTGAAATTTCTTTTGAGAGCCAAATTGTTTAAACTTAAACTACATAGGTAGGTACATTGTTATTAACTTAATTAGGCTACTCCTAAGCTGGCCTTTGCTAAAAATATCCTCAATCTGATTGAGGTACGTTCGCTGAGGTCGACTCCTTCCAACTCTCCCATCCATACTCGTCTTGTATACTTGTTTCAGATAGACGAGTGTGGATGGGAGAGTTGGAAGGGGTCGACCTCAGCGAACGCACCTCAAAACAATGTACCTCCCCCACTCTGCGTATCCCACCGCCCGCCTGCGCCGTCTCCCATTGCCCAACCAACCGACACCTCCCACTTCTAACGCCACTTCTTCAAAATAGACTTGCCCAGGCCAAAAACCAACTTCTGCGCATGGGCCATGAAGTTTCAATCGCACGGTATGTGCACACCCACACGTGGTATTTTGTGGAAGAGCCACACTCAAGGAGCCAAGGAGCCGCATGTGGCTCGCAAGCCGCGGTTTGCCGACCACTGCTCTACTCAATCAAATATTATCTCCTCTCACCTCACACAGCCTTCAGCATCTGCCATGCTCATTCTTAACCTGGCAAACTTAGTTTTCTTTTTTTAATATTTATTTAAAGCTATTGTTATTTATTTTTTTTATTTGATTTTTAGACAGAGGAAGGGAGAAAGGGAGGGAGGGGAAAACACCAGTTGCCTCCCGCACTCGCCCGGACCAGAAATTGAACCCACAACCTGGGTATGTGTCCTGACTGGGAATTGAACCTGCCACCATTTGGTGTATGGGATGACACTCCAACCAAGGAGCCACACTGGCCAGGGCCAACCTTAGCTTTCTTTATTGTTATAGCTGTTCATGTCTGTCCATCAACTTTTCTAACTCTTCTTTTTCTTATGTTTCCAGAAAAATGTCAAGAATAAAACATCTGCGTACCTACTACCCAACTTTCACAAATTTTTAATATTTTGTCTTATTTAGTTCCAGGCATTATTCTAAAGAATCTATAATAAAAATGTAATATGCTAATTAGACCAGACGTCCTTCCAGACGAAGCCAGGGCTGCAGCCCCAGGATCAAGGCAGCCATGGCTGTGAGGGAGGGATGGAGGCAGCCGCCGCAGCTGGGAAAGCCTACTCTTGCACGAATTTTGTGCACCGGGCCTCGTGTGTGTGTGTGTGTGTGTGTGTGTGTGTGTGTGTGTACACACACACACAATATATATATATTCTTACGTATACAGCTGAAGCCACCTGGTACCCTATCCCAGTGATGGCGAACCTTTTGAGCTCGGCATGTCAGCATTTTGAAAAACCCTAACTTAACTCTGGTGCCGTGTCACATATAGAAATTTTTTGATATTTGCAACCATAGTAAAACAAAGACTTATGGGAGAACCAAGATGGCGACATAGGTTAACACCGGAGTTTGCTGCCTTGAACAACTACTTCAAAAGTGAAACTAAAAAACGGAACGGACATCACCCAGAACCACAGGAACGCTGGCTGAGTGGAAGTCCTACAACTAGGAGGAAAGAGAAACGCATACGGACACTCAGAGGAGGCGCAGTGCTGAAGTCAAATTCTGAGGTGCGGAGTGTGCGGAGCGGGCTGGCGGCGGAGGGCGCGGTTGGCGTTTTCAATCGGGAGGGAGTCGCAGACTCTGAGCTCCAGATACAGGCGAGTCTTCAGGGACCCAGACTCAAACGGGAGAAGCGAGACTGTCTGGCTTCGGTCAGAGCGAGTGCAGCTTTCTCTCCGAGGTTTGCAGCGGGTGCTGGGACTCGGAGAGGCAGAGCCCCTGGGGACAGGACTGAGAGCCGCCATAACTGCTCTCTCCGGCCCACCCTGTTGATCCTGTGCGACCCGCCCCGCCCAAGCCCTGCACAGAGGCATTTGCCGGATAGCCTCAGGCAAACGCCAGATTAGCACCTCCCTAGAAGACAGAAGTTCTCTCACTGCAGACACAGCTGATTCTCATAGCCACTTGGCCTGGAGGTCAAACCCTCCCTGGTATTAGCTACAACAATCAAGGTTTAACTATAAGACTGCACACAAAGACCACTAGGGGGTGCACCAAGAAAGCATAACAAAATGCGGAGACAAAGAAACAGGACAAAATTGTCAATGGAAGATACAGAGTTCAGAACCACACTTTTAAGGTCTCTCAAGAACTGTTTAGAAGCCGCCGATAAACTTAATGAGATCTACAAGAAAACTAATGAGACCCTCGATCTTATATTGGGGAACCAACTAGAAATTAAGCATACACGGACTGAAATAACGAATATTATACAGACTCCCGACAGCAGACCAGAGGAGCGCAAGAATCAAGTCAATGATTTGAAATGCGAGGAAGCAAAAAACACCCAACCGGAAAAGCAAAATGAAAAAAGAATCCAAAAATGCAAGGATAGTGTAAGGAGCCTCTGGGACAGCTTCAAGCGTACCAACATCAGAATTATAGGGGTGCCAGAAGATGAGAGAGAGCAAGATATTGAAAACCTATTTGAAGAAATAATGACAGAAAACTTCCCCCACCTGGTGAAAGAAATGGACTTACAGGTCCAAGAAGCACGGAGAATCCCAAACAAAAGGAATCCAAAGAGGACCACACCAAGACACATCATAATTAAAATGCCAAGAGCAAAAGATAAAGAGAGAATCTTAAAAGCAGCAAGAGAAAGAAACTCAGTTACCTACAAGGGAATACCCATACGACTGTCAGCTGATTTCTCAACAAAAACTTTGCAGGCCAGAAGGGAGTGGCAAGAAATATTCAAAGTGATGAACACCAAGAACCTACAACCAAGATTACTTTATCCAGCAAAGCTATCATTCAGAATTGAAGGTCAGATAAAGAGCTTCACAGATAAGGAAAAGCTAAAGGAGTTCATCACCACAAAACCAGGATTATATGAAATGCTGAAAGGTATCCTTTAAGAAGAGGAAGAGGAAGAAAAAGGTAAAGATACAAATTATGAACAACAAATATGCATCTATCAACAAGTGAATCTAAGAATCAAGTGAATAAATAATCTGATGAACAGAAAAAAAAACACAAAAAACAAAGACTTATATTTTTGATATTTATTTTATATATTTAAATGCCATTTAACAAAGAAAAATCAACCAAAAAAATGAGTTCACGTGTCACCTCTGACACACGTCATAGGTTCGCCATCACTGCCCTATCCCAATCCCATGCTCCTCTCTCTCTCTCCCAGAAACATTCTACTCTGTATTTGGTATTTATCATTGCGTTCATTGTCACAGATGTTTGCCATATATGTATATCCTATAAACTATATATCGTTCATTTTACATAATTTAAAACTTTAAATCCTAGCTTGCTTATGTTTTGCCCTGAAATATTTTTATTAGGTTCAATGTTGGTTTATATGTATCCATGCTAATACACCCAGCTCATTCATTTGAATAATATACCATTTTTTAATACACTGCAATTTATCCATTCTCTTGCTAATGGCATTTAGTTTGTTTCTAATTTTTCACTGTTGGAAACAAATGCTGTAATAAACATTTTTTCAAACTGCAAGTTTCTCTAGGGTCCTAACCCTCTGTCTTATATCCCAAATAATCAAGTACAGAATCAACAAAATACTTCAAAAGTATTCTTTCCTTTCTCATGTTACAAAAAAAACTACTGTTGCGTTAATTCAGGCATGTGAAATTCATACACATTGTGGAGCTACTGTTATCTCAAGGCAAAAACAATTGCTACAGCAATATAACAGGATTCTAAAGACCAACATTTACTGCTCTATTTTTATGATCGCCCTTTCTGTTCCCTTTAAAAGAAATTTCCACTAACTACACTGACATACCTCTCCAGTGTCAAGCCTTTCATTCTGCTTCAGGAATATTCAACAACCTGTAACTCCCCAAACACACCAACTAATCCACAATTTTATGACTTGTCTGAAATGTTTGCTTCATCTTGTCCACCTGATTAGCCATTCATTAAAATTCTATGCAAATGTCACCCTCTCTACATTCTTTTGAAACCTTCCATGTCTCCCATCTCCATTCTTCTTCTCCCAGGTAGGATTTCCTAGTAGAAGGAAATAATGACTACTCTCTACTCGGCAGAACTTCACCTGGAACATACTTCCATTTCTATGGAGATTACAATGGGTTTTAGTATTTATTTGATATTTCTTCTTTTCTTTTACACTGATAATCTATTAATAGTGCCTTAACACCTGAGTGGCACAGAAATGCATGCAAAACTCAGCTGACATCACAGAAATTTATTTGCAGTTTGCACATTAGCCCAATCAGCTCTGGCAAGAAGTTAAACAAACATGGAAGGAAACATCTCCATTTTTACAGAGAAACTTATAATCTTTTCTTTCTATCAGCCAAAAAGTAAATAAAATACTTTTACTACTATTCCTCACTGGAAAACAGCAATACCTACAAATAAAGCAAAATTTATTTTATTTTAGAGAGAGGAAGGGAGAGGAGAGAGGTGAGAGAAACATCAATAGGTTGCCTCCACCTCCCGTAAGCACATGGACTGGGGATAGAACCCGCAACCTAGGTATGTGCCCTGACTGGGAATCGAATGCACCACCTTTTGGCATACAGGAAGATGCTCCAACCAAATGAGCCACACTGGCCAGGACAAAACAAATATTATTTTTGTGATTACTGAGATTAATATTTTAGGATAACTGTAGCGCCTAAAATTCAATTTCTAAAGACGGTGGATAAAGAGGAATGAAAAGTTAGAAGGTATTCCCATGTGGGAAGAAAATAAAACGAGAGTGAGAATGGCTTCATTGTTTAAGTTTAGGAAAACACAGGGAAATCGGTTATTTTGCATAACTTAGAGATTTAAGTATAGCTATTCAAAACCATAAAGATTATTACTGATTCTAACTTTAGATAAGTAGGATAAACCTCTGCAACAAGTGGAAACTAGATCTCTCTTCTCATCAAGAGCATTTTCTGAAAGCTGAATATCTCAGAATTGATATCTCAAGTATTTATTTTATAGACACAGGGGCCATCATATTTGAACCACTAAATAATGTTAACCACTGAATAATTCACAGGTTAATTTGAAATGTTCTTTATTTTTTAATCTTTGGGAAAGATCAACTGGTCCATCTGAAAACAGTATTCTATATGGTACATTTATACAAAGAAGTTCTGCACTCAGTGGAAATTTTGCTCATTGCTATTAAGAGAGAGCAAATAGACACTATTTCACACAAGCAACAAAAGGCTTATTTTAAAAGAAATTTTTTTAAGCCCAATGATAGCCCACCAACCTTCTGTCTTAGGAAAGTCAAGAAAGACCCCAGGCAGTATTATTATATTAGTTCACCCATGATTTTTCTTCTGTGAGGATTTTTTATGTGTATATATATTTCTTTTAAGACTATAAATTCCTTAAGGAACTTTACTTTTTTTTTAATATATATTTTATTGATTTTTTACAGAAAGGAAGGGAGATAGTTAGAAACATCGACGAGAGAGAAACATCGATCAGCTGCCTCCTGCACATCTCCCACCGGGGATGTGCCCGCAACCCAGGCACACGCCCCCGACCAGAATCGAACCTGGGACCCGCCAGTCCACAGGCCGACGCTCCATCCACTGAGCCAAACCGGCCTTGGCAAGGAACTTTACTTTTAAGAGGATTTTTAAAAAATGGATTTCAGAGAGGAAGGAAGAGATAGTAACATTAATGATAAGAGAAAATCACTGATCGGCTGCCACTTGCCCACCCCATACTAGGGATTGAGCCCACAACCCGGGCATGTGCCCTTAACTGGAACCGAACCTGGGACTCTTCAGTCCGCAGGAAGATGCTCTATCCACTGAGCCAAACCGGCTAGGGCTTTAAGAGGATATTTTAAATTAATTCCTTATTTTATTATTATTACTAGAGGCCCAGTGCACAAAAATGTATGCACTTGGGTCCCTCAGACGGGCCTGTGCCCTCTCGCAGTATGGGACCCCTTGGGGGATGACCACCTGCTAGCTTAGGCCCGCTCCCCAGGGGATCAGGCCTAAGCTGGCAGTCAGACATCCCTCTGGCAGCCCAGGAGCCCTCGGGGAATGTCCACTTGCCAGCAGGGAGCAGGCCTAAGCTGCAGTGGGACATCCTTAGTGCTGCTGAGGAGGCGGGAGAGGCTCCCACGACCACCACTGTACTGGCAGCCATCAGCCTGGCTTGTGACTGAGCAGAGCTCCCCCTGTGGGAGCGCACTGACCACCAGAGGGCAGCTCCTGCATTGAGCATCTGCCCCCTGGTGGTCAGTGTGTGTCATAGTGACCAGTCATTTCCAGTCGTTGTGCTGTAAGGGTCAATTTGCATATTACCCTTTTATTATATAGGATAGAGGCCTGGTGCATGGGTGGTGGCCAGCTGGTTTGCCCTGAAGGGTGTCCCAGATCAGGGTGGGGGGTCCCCAGTGGGGTGCCTGGCCAGCCTGGGTGAGGGGCTGAGGGCCATTTTCAGGCTGGCCACACCCTTCGAGGGGGGGAGGGGGGTCCTGCTGAGGTGCCTGGCCAGTCTGAGTGAGGGGCTGATGGCTGTTTGCAGGCTGGCCACAACCCCCAGCCACCCAAGCTCCCAGTGGAGGCTGGCTGGAAGCAGGTATCTGGGATTTATTTATCTTCTATAATTGAAACTTTGTTGCCTTGAGCCAAGGCCACAGCCGGCCAGGGCAGGCGGGAAGCTTGGCTTCCTCCACTGCCGGGGCAACCAAGCCTCCTGCTTGCTCCAGCTCCGTGGCTGGTGGCCGCCATCTTGGTTGGGTTAATTTGCATATAGCCACTCTGACTGGCTGGTGGGTGTGGCTTGGGGTGTAGCAGAGGTGAGGTCAATTTGCATGTTTCTCTTTTATTAGATTAAATTATTATTTTTAATTTCAGAGAGGAATAGAGAGGGAGAGATAGAAACTTCAATGACAGAAAAACATCATCATCGACAGCTGCCTCCTGCACATCCCCCACCAGAGATTGAGTCCAAAACCATGGCATGTGCCCTGACTGGGAATTGAACTGATGACCTCTTGTTTCCTAGGTTGATGCTAAACCATTGAGCCACACAGGGCCAGCAGGTACTTTACACTATTGAAATATGTGTGTTATTGGTCAAAGAATCTACCTCCTGGCTATATGATAATTCCACTCAACGAAGACAAACTGCTGAGTTAGAACTTTAATAGATATTAATGGGCATTTAAAAGACCTAGATACTAAGAAAGCACAGGCCTTCTAGCACCAATCTAGATCACAGGTGGGGAACGTCCAGCCTGCGGGCCATATAAGGCCCAAAAAATCATTTGGTCTGGCCCTGCCAAGGCATGAGGGGTGAGTTAATTAAATGTTTAATATAGCAGGCTAATTTTTAAGTTGACAATTTTGTATGGCCTTCAAATGATGTTATAAACATCCAAATGGTCTTTCGCAGAAAAAAGGTTCCCCACCCATGGCCTAAAGCATCAGGTAACTGCTGGAAAGGCCAGTACTGTCCTCTGAGATGCTTTCAGCTTTTACAATCACTACTCCACTGGAATTGCTAGACTGAGAACACTTTATTTCCTCCCTCCCTCACTCTTATATAAGAACTGTTGACAAACTTATCTATAAAAGAACACAACTATAATCACCTCTCACATCAAAAAAAATGTATAAAAAGCACATTTAAGATTTAAAGATATTTCTAGAAAGCAAAGTCTTTAGAGTAGGCCATGAATTAAGCACTCACTTCAGTACTTAATTCAAAACACTATTATTCAAAACACTAATCTCATCATAGTCACTGGCTAGATTAGTTATAACTTCATATCTTCTACAGAGTAAAAAAAAAAAAAAAAAAAAAAAAAATCCCCAAACTGGAGGAAACATCTAGAAAAATGTACGCTTCAAAGGTACTCCCAATAACCTTAAGAGTGTTAAAAATATTACGCTAGGTTGTGGGTTCAATCCCCAGTCAGGGCACATACAAGATTCAACCAGTGAATGCATAAATAAGTGAAACAACAAATCGATGTTTCTCTCTCCCCTCTCTCTCTTCTAAAAAAGAATCAATAAAATTCAAAATAATAATATCATACTATATCTCAACTACAACTATAAAGGGGTACATCCTAAATAGCAGTTTGCTAAATAAATCGGGGGCAGATTGTGAATCAAATTTTCCAAAACTCGATACAAATGGACCTAGATCTAATCTGGCTAAAGGACACCAGCTTAGTTATATTAGACTTTTTATGAAGACGTGTATTTTCTGACAATTATGTTCATAATTTGGTGTTAAGTATAAAATAGTTACAAAAAAGGCTGTCTTTTCTAAAGGGGCTTCAGAGAATAATATGTTGCAGAGTATGACTTTCCTCCCAATTCAGCAAGTCTTCTACTTACATATTCTTTTCCAGTTTCCCTTGGCACACACTTCAACCACTCAGCTATTTAAGGGAACTTCTGTATGTAGAATGCATAGCTCCTATTTTCCATAGTCAATCCCATTTATTGGCAAGGATTATTTAAAGCATTAACCATATGCAATAAGCCAAGAGATTCAAGGGCCTTGGACACTGTCAGCCAGCCACACCACCAGCTGAGCACTGGAATCAAGATCAATTTCTGGAATCTTTCTAAAGGTCCCCAGAGTGGAACTCCAGGGAACCAGTGGTGGGTTGAACCACTTCCGGGCAGTGTAGGAAGGTAGGACCCTGCAATAAAGAGGATCATTTCTCAATTCCTTCTCTCATAACTCTCTCCCCACACACACACACAAAAAAGATTTTATATATATATACTAAAGTTGTTTACCTTCTAGACCAGAGGGCATTACCTATCTCTCAGGCCTGCCATTTCCTGATAAATTCAGCTGGCTTTTTTGTTGTTCATTCAGTTTACATTTTTGTGACCTTATGGTTTTAAATAAATATCCAAAAGCATTTGGGTAATTATATTTGCAGCTTATGGTTAAGTAAGTTACAGCAAATATGTACAAGGTTTATGCAGAAGTGGAGATCACCTATGAAAAGTTATTTCTTTAAATCCCTGGATTACGACTGGAAGGTAGTAGCAAGAACACTTCAGTATTTTAGAGTCCTGTTTTATGTGGTTTCATGGATTCACGAGGTGTTTCAAATCTATATTTTTTTCAGTGTTCCCATCTTTGTGACGTCCTGCTAATAATCTTAATGACAACTATATTGTGCTCACCCTCATTCCCAATGAACAACTATTAATGTGTTTTTTAACATCATAGATTTTCATTGTTTTTGCAAAGTATTTTTGATTTTGAAACCCATCTAATCTTCTAAAAAAAAAAAATTATTCTCTCTCTTCCTTCTCCCTGGAAAGTTTTAAATCCTGCCGACTCCTCTTCTAGAACTCCAGAAGGAATTCCATTCCCTCTCCAGAAAACACCCCGTTTACCTATTTGACCTACAGGAAAAAAAAAAAAAAAAATTCTGCCCAAGTATTCCGAGGGCTGGTAGAAAACGCCATCCAGCTAAGTCTCCCACAACCACGCCTCTTCACCATCTTCACGGTCCCCTCCCCATCCCGCATTCCTGGTGCGTCTGAACTTCTTGTCATCACCTTCCAGGCTCCACGGCCCCCACTTGCCGGCATCTGCTCTCATTTCCTCCTCCTCCCCCCCAAGTCCTGCCCGCAGCCCCGAACGCTGCCTGTTGCATAACGGCTCCCCCATTAGCGTCTCCCCGGAGCGGAGCGTCAGGCCGGCTCCGCGAGCAGGGATGCCCCTTTCCGTCCAGCCCCTCCTCCTCCTCCTGCAACACGCCCAGCGACTCCCAGAGACGGGGCTCCTCCGGGGATTCTCTCGCCGGGCGGGGCGGGACGAGCTGCCGGGCGGGCGCCCCGCGTCGGCGCGGGAAGCGGGTCTGAACTTCGGTAGGAAAGCCCGCGGGCAGAGTCGGCCCGCTCCCCCCTACCGCGCCCCGCGGCGCACCCCGCAGCGCTGGGCCAATCGCCGCCGCCATCCTCCCGCTGGGGTGATGTCTTCAGGTGTCCGGGAGCACCCTGCGTACTTCCAGCCCGGCCCCCGGTGCGGCGCCCGGCCGCGGGAGACAGGGCGGGCCCCCGGGCCCCGGAGGAGCCGGCTGGCGGCAGCGGCCCGGAGGACGCTGGACCCCAGGCGTGGGCCTGCGAAGCGGGTGGCTCGCGGCCAGGGATGGGCAGCGGAGGGGACGCAGGCGGCCTCGGCCTCGGCGGGGCCAGGCGCGGAGGCCCCGGGCGGGAGCCGCGGCCCCCCGAGCGGGGCTGCGGGGCGGCCGAGCAGCCCAGCGGACTGACTGACGCGGGGCGGGGGTCGCCGGCCGCCTCGGCCGACGCTCGAGGCAAGGGCGGCCGCTCCCCGCCTTCGCCCCTTCTCCAACCCGCGTGTCCGCCCGCCCGCCTCACCTTCAGGACCCGAATCCCGCCCGGCCGGCGGCTCGCGGGCGCTTCGGGCGGCTCCGGGGGCTCGAGCGGGCCCGCGGGCCCCGGCTCCACCTCCCCCATCGGCGGCAGAGGCTGCACAGGGACGCCCGGCCGGCGCGACGGCGCGCGGAGCCTCGGGGGCGCGCGCGAGCGGCCCGAGGCCCCGCCCCCGCGCCCGCAGCCCCGCCCCGGCCCCGCCCCCCGCAGCCCTTCGGACCTGCGTAGCTGCGGGCGAGTTGCGTCCGGGGCGCCGCGAGCCGCCTGCAGGCGGGTTGGATGTGCGGAGCCCGCGGGCGGAGCCGGGCGCCACCGCAGGGCTGGGCCTCGGCGGCCGGCAGCCTCGGAGGACCGGCGCCGGGAGAGTGATTGGCTGCTGTCCCCGCCTCCCGAGTGCCGGCTGGACAAAGGGCAGGTGTCAGTGGTGACAGGACGCTGCTCTCCACAGAGGTGGCTCTTGGAACTTGTGTCCTCTCTTTCCAATTGAACGAATTGTTGAGAAGACTCACCTCGGCGAGGACCTTTCTTTTCCTTATCGGAGATGCTCGCGACATTCAACACATTCGATCCAACCCTGTGTCCAAAATATTAACTCACCTCCCAGTCACATTGTAATTCCCTTTCTCCTTATGTAGTAACATCAGAATTCGGTTCTCAGTCTCAAGCTGTCATATATCTGGGAGCCACTTAATTGTTGGCAAAGATGGTTCAGAAAATCTTTAAAAGTTTATTTTCTTCTTGTTCCCGCATTTGGTGGTAGTTTTGTGGCCGGCCAGTGGGCCAAATTTGGAATCAGAAAGCTTGATTCCAAGTCTCCACTCTACCTCCTATTAGGCGTATACCCTTGTGCAAGTTACTTGATCTCAGACTTTCGTTATGAAGCAGTGAAACAGAAATACCTGCCTAGCAGTTATTATGAAGATTTTGTGAATGATGCAGCCATGCTTATTAGCACATAGTAAGGGTTCATAGTAGCCATTATAAATGTGAATTTCCAAATTTAAGATTCACTCCGTTCCTTGGAGTATTCTTGTTAATTATTCCAAATTTTCCTAGGAAACCGAGACTTCTGGGTTTTTAGGTATTCCCCTTACAAAGGTATTGATGAATCTCCAAGCAACTTGCAAAAAAATAATTTCTTGAGCTTCGAATAATCAGTAAAGATGGTATCACCTATTATTCATTGCTTCAGCTTGCTTAGTCCAGACCAACTATGCTTTAATTGCAGGCTTAGAACAAAAGAGTCTGTGACCTACAATAGTACTGTGATAGGTATGCACTTGGAGATACTTTAAATTCCCAAAATTTGACTCTTGCAAAGATTCTGACGTGTACAGATTGTTTCTTCTGTAAATTTAGTCACTACATGAGTTACCTTGTATATACAAAAACTCAGTCTCCAGTCATCTTCATTTCTTTGTCTCATAATGAAAAACTCTTTGTCTCTGTGTCTTGGTGTAAGGTGAATAAAGCTCTTAGGTTGTCTACCTCTGGGGTTTTCCTGCTACTTTGAAAATTAGTTTGAAGAAAGCTACTCAAAGTAGTTGGATTTCTATTTCAGTGCTTACTGGGTAACTTCTAGCAAGAACACTCGGTAGTAAGAATAGGCACCAATATGGAGACAAAAATGGACCTGACCAAGGACAAACAAGCAGTAGAAAGAATAAAAATGTGGCTCAGGATCAATATGTCTAAAAGCTGTTTCTTGGTGTATTATGCATTACCTTTTCCAGATCTCATGAGCAGGCCACCTACCGGAAGGGGAAGGAAATCTTAAGGACCAGCATTTGCATTCAGGCTGGGCAAGATCAGGGGTAGATGATTGTTGTTTTTTTAATTAATGGGATGACAATGGGCTAAAGCATCAATTCAAAATACAAGCATATGCCTAAGTTATATATTTAGTACTTTTTTTAACAATAGTAGTACTTCTGTCAAAAGGGGGGGGGGATTAAAGCTACCAGCCCAGATACTGCATGGGGATAATTTATGATGCAGCTCCCTTTAAAGGTCTCCATGATTTAAGATCCAGTTCAGTAAGTAGCGACAACCAGTTGATTCTGTCTTCAAATCATATACTGCCATTAATGTTTTATACTGTTTCAAAGGTCACATATACATGTTCTCCCCAGTTCAAGGCCGTGTGCATTATGTATGCCAAGGGTTATGGAACTACAATTCCTGGAAATGGTCAACAGCTAAGACTAACCCTAAGAATAAATTCCTCTGGGATTTTTTGGTGCAAAAATCCATCTGCCCTCACTGCGGGTTCATTGTTACAAAAATCACTGGATCAAACCAAGGGACAGAAGTCATTAGACTCTTTCCTCTCTGTATCCTATCCTTCCTATAAGCAGCTGTGCATACCTCTCTCTCCACCTGGGGACACACCTACAACACTTTAATCTCAGGGGCTTTTCCTAATCCTCACTACCAAATGGAAAGAATATCTAAAGGGGAAAGTTCATATCTATCAGATTTTCATAGAAGAACCATAAGCCAATTACATTGGCTTATTCATAGGTTGTCCCCACTCTTTCAATGATTACAAAGTCACCTTTAGGCCTAAAACCCTTGTTATTCTATCACAGGTTGAGCAGACTTAGATATTCCTTTTTCTTTTTTTAGAGAGAGAAACATCAATTTGTTGTTCCACTTATTTGTGCATTCATTGGTTGATTCTTGTATATGCCCTGACGGGGATCAAACCCACAACCATGGCATTATTAAGACGACGCTCTAAGCAACTGAGCAACCTGGCCAGGGCTAGATATTCCTTACTTTAGTTCCAAATAAACAAGCAGACAGTATTTACCTGGCTTTAAGGTTTGAAGAAATTTCTTCCTTGAGCATTTTTATACTTTTGGAACATGGGAAAATTGAACTAGGGGAGAAAATAGCATGGAAAACCCTTGAAAGTGGTAAAAATTAATGTGGTCTTTCTAGACTGAAGTTCAAACTGGAACACAACTCATTACATTTTTGTTTTTTTCTTTTTCAACTCATTATATTTTTAAGTAAATATCTAGAATCTATTATTTGCTAAACTTTTCTATTGTAGCTTTTATATTTTCATTTAATTACATGTAGATGAAGTTGTTAACAAAATCTAATATTGGGAACAAAGATGTTAAGCCACATAGTAAAGATTATAGAAATGTCCCTTATCAAACAGTGCCAAAGGGCACTTCTGCATAAACTAGATAATTGACAAGGACTACATCTTTCTCCTCAATCAGAGGACTGTTAGGAATCATCTGAGTAATAGAAAAGCTAAAGCTTTGAATCCAACCACTCTCACTTTTATGGAAAAGTGTGTATAAAATAGATCAGGAAGTAAAATTCATTTTGGCTAGTTAAGCCTTCCTCTTCCCAGTCACAGGTATACTTGAACAATTCACAAATTGTAACCAAAGCCCTATGACTACCCCTCATATATATTTCACCTTAATATGATTTCTTTGCTTTGTGTGAGAATTCTCCTTTGTATAGAAGATAAGCATGGATGTAATCATCTAGTTAAAATTTCCAATTACACTTTTCACTGTCTACAACTAGAAGTATGTTTTGTTTTGTTTTAATTGTTCAAATTCCTCTCTCGGTGAGATTTATGTATAAAAGGAACATCAACAGGTCAACAAGTTTAGCTCAAAGTTCTGGAATAGGAATTCATCCAAGGCTTCTCTAATCTACTTGTAAGAAGCGAGAAAGCAAATTTTAAATCATTGAGTATTGACTTTTTTATTATTAGTCACTGTTCATAATTTGTTTCAACCAAAAGACAATACACACAGCAGAATTCTAATGCATCCCATGTAAATGTTTACATCCATTTTATTCCTCACTCGCCTCTAAGGCTTATCATTTAATTTTAAATTTTTTTTACATCTCAAAAATATGTCTGCAATAATTAGAACTTCATTAGCTGTCCCACTTGGAAACAGCCTTTAATATTTTTACAGTAAAGAAGATGTGATGGGGCTTAATGAAAATGTAACTTACAATATTTTGAAAGAAAAGGGACTTTACAGGGACACAGTGGGAGTTCACAGAGGAAAGAGTTCAGAAGCTCTTTCCCATGAGGCCCCCAAATAGAAAACAAAAACAAAACACACAAAGCGCAACAGCAGGTTCCAAAAACAAAAACAAATAAACTCCAATGCTCCATCCCGAAGCCAGAACCGGCCTCGTGGAAGTTCATGAAGCAACTGTATAAGCTGCTTCAGCATTTTCTTCTGTTTAAATGTTCCCGGTCCAAGAACCCGTAGGTGGGACCCACTCACTGCTATTGCTTGAAAAAGTTATTCGCTTCCAGTTCTACAAGCAGCCCCACCCTCCTGAGCCAAAGCTGGTCAGAGTGTTTTAAACGTCAACACGTTCTGAGCAGTCTTCCCTTCAGTGATCCTTCCCGCTCCCCAGCGCATGAGAACATGTACCACCTCTCCACCATCCAGTTTTTGAATATCCACTTTTTACTCTCCAGCTCTCAGTTTAGGACAATGTGGATAAAATACATTCACTAGAAAACAATATATACACATTCAACCGCTTTCCCTTAGTTCTCATGGCCCCGAAATTTTCCAATGCAGAAGATAATGATGTTGAATCTCAAAAACAGTATCCCCTAACTGCCAACTTCTAGAAGAACATAAAAATAGAAGGTATGTTATATAGATAGAAATACTCAAACCGTTAGTGCTGGACAGTTTTCAAAGTCTATTTTTTTTATATGAAGGGGACAAACAAGAGGTATGGACATCTTTAACCTAGCAAGAGGAAAGAATCCCTTCCCAAGTGTTACACTGAGGAATGTTTCTTTAAATGAGAAAGACCTTAAAATGAATAGATGGTCACCATACACAGCGTAAAACATTCCATGACTGTCCAAGTCACCTCAAGATAACAGCACCGGAGCATTATGGGAGAAGTTTCTCGGGCAGAGCACCCTCCCTACTGTTTTTTAAGATAACTTAGATGAGTTCTCCCTTAGTATTACTGGGGAGGCGGGGGAGGGTTGGGAGGGGTTAGGACACAAACTACTCTAGAAGAGGAAAATATGAGGTAAAAGTGCATGTGAAAT